TAAATTAGCACGAGGCCATGCAGAGGCACTTAAAACGGTTTTAGGTGGGAACATTCCTTCTGCCTGCACATTACTCTGAACTGGGTTTAACGTGTTAGACAGGTATCCCGACACACCAGCTGCACAAAAGTCCTTCAGCGAAGGGCATCAGGGTAGTGTTCAGCAAACAGAACCTTGTAACGTGCGGTGCCCTTCAGGCTGAGGAAGGTTTCTCTTCCACACGTTAGGTTTCCTTTTCTCAGACTTTTTCAAAGTGCTTGCTTTTCGCCACTTAGCAGCAAAGCAGGCTTGCAGTTGGATGGGGTCACGACCCCTTACTGTCTCTTAATTTAGCAGAGCAGTAATAAAAGGAAAAAAGAAAGCTTTTTTTTTTCTTTTTTAGAAGTAAAACCCACAACGGCACTAGAGGTGAGGGCATAACCGAAACCGTAGCAGGATTTTGTCTGGATGCCTTCTTCCGGAGAGGTGAGATAAGAAAAATACCCCCTATTGCAGTTCAGTTCCATTGGACAGAATAATTGCTTTTGCATCCATAGACAGTTTTGGCCCTTTCCCGTTAGGATTAAATTTCCTGAATAAATTAGTAATGCTTTCTAGGCACAAGACTGAACAAGCAGCATAATGTTGCGGGGGGGGGGGGGGGGGGGGGGTATTTCTGCCTTCCCTAAGCAATCACAGCCAAGTTGTAGCTTAGCTTTCACTGACAGGGTTTCACTTCTTTACTTGCTTGCGTTGCTTACCTGTGCCAGAGAACCCCACGTGGATGGTAGTTCATAGCATCATAGCACCTCGCAAACGCAACTCCCTTGCCAGGTCCTCCATCTGACCCTTTTGCCACTGGTAATCTGCCAGGTGAGCAGAGCCGCGTTTTGATTTGCAGACTCTGAACAACTACAAAATAGATGTTTTAGAAAGCGTTTCTCCAGCCAAACGTAACACAAATCAGCACCAACAGCTAGTAGCCTAATTCTTGCCAAATAAGATAGATGGATACTACCTACAGCGAGGAGGAGGAAGAGAGAAGGCAGAAGTTGTTGCACGTTCTGACGTCCTGGTGTGTATCTCTCACCTGCTTAAATGGGGGAGAATGTTCTCATGAATCCCGGCTTCGTACAGTCTCACTTCCAATAACTATCTGCCTTCTACTGCTTACTTTAAAAGAGGTGTTTTGCGTTAGGCCATCTGGGACAAGCTCAAATTGAATTTGGGACCCGGATAGCAGCTATGGATTAACGTGCATCATAAAGTAGATACCAAATGTATCTAGTCCAGAATCTGCGCGTAAACTCTAGGAAAGATGAAAGGCTTACGTTATTTCAGGTGGCAAGCTCAGAAACATGTGCCCAAGGTAGGGGCATTGCTGGGTCTGCGGAACCTGCAACGGAAAGAATAGTAGCTCAGCTATTCATTAATTGGACAACCATACTTCTGGGTGTTTATTCAGAAATGAACTAATAAGCCAAGGCATACTTCATGCACAGAACTTTGATATTAATTGATATTAACTGATACTAAGTTCTCCATAAATCCTTTCTAGCTCCCCCTAAATCCTTTGGGAGAGGAGGAAAAAAGTAACAAAACCTTGATCTCCCTCAACGTATCTCAGGTATGCGGCTGACATAGTATATGTATTTACACATAGCTTATACTCAGCCATACGAGCAGACTGCTTTTTGACCGCCTGACCACCCCCCCCCACCACCACTTACCTACTTCAGCTCTTTCTAACAGAGAAACCTAAGAGATCTATGTCTTTATTATCATATGACCCTGCACTGAAAGAGGCAGTGGTTCAAAGTGCAATACTGTGCTCGACTTACTTAAATCAACAGCACGAAAGCTGCTCTGAAATGATGCCTGCGTTGCCGTATCTCCTCTGAGAAAGTCTTGCAATGCCAGGCTGCACGCCTTTCTCATCAGACCCCGCTAGTTTCAGACGCTCTCTCCTGTGAAGAGATGGGGACAGACTTTAGCCTACTCGTCCCCTCAGCACTAAACCGTGTAAGCACATACATATGTTTTTTCCTACCTATGTATGAGAAGATGGAGGGCTTGTTTTTTTCCCAAGTAGCAGCTGGAGAAACTTTTTGGTCCAGATGCTTGATGAGACCTTTTGAATGGGCTCTGCAGTGATCTCTGTACAGGTACAAAGGTGACAGGAAAGGCTGCAATACATCAAGGCTGAGCAAAGAACACACGTGCAAACCTCACGGTCTGACTTGCTGCATGTCAGAAATGCTAACTGCTAAATGCAGTGATTGCTGAACAGATATAAAGGTGACAGGAAAGCCTGCACTACATCAAGGCTGAGCAACGGACACGCTTGCAAACCTCATAGTCTGGCTTTTTGCGTGTCAGAAATGCTAACCAGAAAGGCGCGCATACCTGCAGGTTCTGGTGAAGACAGCGCTTCTGTACCATGTGGCCTGTAGCACTCTCCCCTTCCTAGCAGCTCTTCCTTCTCAGACTTGCATTTCCATCGCTTTTCAGTGATCCAGAAGCACCTGAACCTGAAAGGAGACAGAGAGGGCAGCTTCCAGCTTTCACGTCATGCAGCTCTAGGAGAGAGTGGTCGAGAGAATCTCAAAGACCAGCACCTCTCTCGACAAATGAGCTTCAAAACAGAGGTTAGTGGCAGACGTTTCAGGGGAGTAAATTCACTCGTGGCTAGTTAGGTGGGCCTTTTTATGCAATGAGAAGTTGGAAAACTTTTGTGACGCCTCTTCCATAGGGTTTATTTCTGTGGGCGCAGTTAGCATAAAGCCAGCACGTGTGAGTTAACGTATCTGAAAAGCCCATCTGCGAACGCTGCTGCCGAAGCGTACGCAGTCTGTAGCCTGCTGCAGTGATCTGCGAAGAGGTTCTGTCGGAAGCGTGGCCCAGTCTCCCCTGAGGGGCGCTTTTGCAGCGTGTGGCAAAAATATGGGCTCCTACTCTGCCATCAGTCTGGAGATGGTATGCTGCCCGAGAATACTTCTCCACACGATGGCCTTAGAGTGTTTCCGTGATTCCTCCCAGGTGAGGAATGTACTGAACTAGCCAGTTTCTAGCATATGACCAAGTGGTCTTTCAGTGTTCCCCCCCCCACAGCCAGGACAGAGGCAGCCCGCTTGCTCATTTATTAGGTGGAAATTCCTGATCCCCCAGTGTGCTATAGGTGAAAAGCACAGTCAGTAACAAAAGCTTTAAAGCAACAATGCAATGCTTGCAGCTTGTAGCACTGCTGGCTAGGGAAGGGACTGGCTCAAGGAGGGTAATTCTGTCATGTTTGCCAAGGCTGCTGCTACCACCCTACGGTTCTTGGCAAAACTCTGCTTTCTGAGTTACCTGCTGAAATCCAAAGAGTTCGTTCCAACAGGATCTTTGCCAGACTTGCTACCCTTGAGAAATTCTGTGGCACAGTCGTGGACTGTGGCTCAGACTTTTCAGAAGGTCTCAGCACAGGTTAAAATATCCAGCAGGGGCTTGCTTAAACAATACTCCAAATAGAGACTCGTAAACCAAAGCATCTGAGGTAAGCGGCTCACAAAACATTTGTGGCAGTGTAGTTTCCAAGGTGTGACTGTGCCGAGCTTTGGGCCCATTCCCCCTTGCCTGCCATGCTTTCATCTCTCTGTGCTCTGCAGTCTGTACAGCCCAAGTCTCTCTGTGCCATAATACCTTTTTTTTCTAAATGTGCACGCTGGCCAAATAACACTATCTCACGTGTCGATCAACTGTTGATAGAAATTATTCCCTCACCTAGCCAGAGAGCATGGGCTTCACTGATAGCATGGATACGTGCTGTCCTACGCCCTCCTCTCCCGCGCACGTTTTGCAGTGCTTGCTATGGCTTTTCCCTCTCCCCTCTCCCCTTCGCTGCCAGACAATCACACCCTTTGTCACAGGTGGACTGACGTGGTGCTGTCCCTGCTTGCCTTTCCTTGCTGCAGTTTGTATGCTCCTTAAGAGAATGTGTTTTGTTTTTTCGGTAAGGAAAGGACTTCCTTCTGCTGAAGGAATTATATTTGCACATGGCTCAGGGAGGCATAGCCTCTGGCCGTTTCTGTTACCTCACTCATTTAGGCCAATTCCATTGCTAACGTAAATGGCCACCTTCCCGAACCCAAACTCTGAGTTGATTTAGAGATGAAAACAAACGTGCAGCTCAGGTTCTAGAGCCACTTGGTCACGTCTCAGTCCAGCGGCACTAGAATTTGGGAGAGCGGCTGCTGTGAAACAGCAACTTCTATCTGGCAAAGAGGTGGAGCTCGTGCCACATGTGCTTCCTTCCTGTCCTCGGAAAGCCCCCCTCCTCCCTTGTAACAGCAGATACAGAAGCACTAACCTGGTTCTCGGCTCAATGAGGTCGGAGGGGAAGGAGGAGCAGCAGAACGTTGCAGCGTACACCGTTACAACCGCCGAAGCCTGGCATCGTGGGGCTGTGGCGCTTCTGGGACGTTACCGTTCTTCCTGCACTTCATCCCTCATTGCATGCTCCAGGGCTGGATAAAGCTGCTAAAAACCTGGAGCGTGCTCTCCCCACCTGAGACCCTGGATCCTGCAACGCCAACTGCCGTGCGTAATCTCAAATTAACGAGGATCATCTCATGTCAGCAAGGACAGGGAAGGGGACATACAATCACCCCCAAGTGTGCCCTTCCCTTCGGGATTACAACACCGGAGCCCGGGGGGGGGGGGGGGGGGGGCCCCCGGTGGGCAGGGGCGGAGCGGAGCAAGAGAGCAGCGTAAAGCGATTTTCAAAGGGAGACGATTCAGGCCGTCACCTCCGGTGATGGGGGGGGTGTAGGGGTGCGGGAGGAACTGTGGTTCTGTTTTAGGAGTTGTCTAACTGTCATAAACTTTGCGCTGTGCGCAAAGTATCATAAAACGATAATGAAACTTACCTGCTAGAACCTAGGAATTATAAAGGCTACACAGCCAAAACTTAATGTAAAGTAGCTAGTACAAACAATGGAAGTACGGTATAAATTAAAAAAAAAACTATCAAACAAACAGTGTGACTCGTGAGTGCTTTGTTGGTTTTATTGTCCTGCCTATTCTAAAGTCTCTTCTGTCGTTTCCAAACACACAGAGAGGGTCTTTTCAGGTACCGGCCAGGACCATCGCTTCCAGGACAAAGCCTGCCTTTAGCACTGCCCTTGAATGATGCCAGTTTTTTTCTGCGAGAATCTTGAGCAAAACACACACGCCGCTTCCCCCTACCTAGAACACAGGGGGGCAGTCACATCTGTCTGCAGGAACTGGATAAATGAAAGCTGCGTCCAAAAAAGACATCTTGAGAAGATGTGTGTACGGTACTGGAAGGTGCAGGACAGCTCTTCTTTACCTCCTGAGGTAGCTCTCGAGAAGTTTTCAGTTAACTCGCTTAGTGTTATGACATGAGAGGGTTATGAGGACTTCACCCAGACTAAGGGGGGAGCGCAGCTAAAGTGGGACAGAGGTTATGGGACCTTACCTAAAAATCTCCCTGGGCATCAAGGCTGTGGTCAGCGATGGAATCCCTGGAGTTACAATCAACTCTCCCCTCTGCTGCTGTGGATCTAGAGTTAGGAGTATGCCCAAAATTGCCCTGAGGCCCAGCCTAAGTTGGCCTAGGGAAAGTGAAGACGCCCAGCAGAATTACAAGAGGAGCTATTTTTTTTCTCCTTTTGGAGATTAGCTTTTAAGGAACCGGTACCCAGGTTACAAGTGTACTGCGTCTGGAAAATGCGCTCAGATTGCCAGGCTCAGCTCTGGACTTGAGAGCCATCCTACTGCAAAGACTGGCATTGTGGTACATTACTAAAGTTGACGCTCACTTCAGAAAGGAATTTTGAAAAACGGCCAGTTGGAAATCTGGCCGGGGCCTGACTTCCAATTGGAGTAATCTCTGTGATTTTAGCAACACATAAACTGCAGCAGAACAAAGCAGAGGAAATTCCGTATGTGGGAAGCATGCCTTCATTCACAAGCATTTTATAACCATGTAGAAGCAATCGGCGTAGCAAAATTTTCCAAGTCTTGCAAGCAGGAAGGGCTCCATTGCAGCAGGGACGTAACAAAATGTAGTATATGAAAAAAACCCAACCATCTCCCATTTTGTGTTAAGGTACAGTTCCACTCCTGGCCAGCGCTTTCCCCCACATAATACTAGTTGTTGAGCTCACCCCGCCTGTATTTGTTACCTATAGAGGCCAAAAACCAAATTTTACTTTGCTTTATCTGCTAAAATTTAAAATGCAAGTTTGCACAGGAAACACTGAATTTACAGCCTAACTCCTGTGCGGTGTTCGTTTCAGATAAACACTGACTATTCAAACCACAGACTAACTACCACAAGAATTACTACTAAAGAATAAGATTTCCTCTTTATGCCTCTAGGCGGTGCTACACTATGGTGCAAAAATACTAACACAGTTACAAAAAGTACTATCGTCTACAAAGTTGTCTGAGAGCCAATGCAGCCCATTTAATTTGCTTGCCTGTTTGCATCAGGCTGTCCTCCTTTCAGGGTTCTCCCCAGAAACAGGTTAACTGCATACCTTGTCCCACCACGCTTGCCTGCTGTCGCAGAACGCCACTGCGCAGGTCCTTCCCATCACTGGGGTCTCTATGTACTTGAGGAGTAAACGTGCTACACAAGGCAAACGGAAGGAAGAAAGCGTTTTGATTTTTGCTAAATGAAAGGGAGAATATAAGGGATTCTTATACTTACATCATATAGCCTTCCAAATCAGGAAGAGTACTTCAGATTACGGATTTAGATCCTCAGTTCTCTCCTTCAAAAGCAAGTCTGGGACCGGGACTTAGCCTTCCTGCTACGCGTTTTGAGCAATTCTGATGCATTATAGCCCTCATGCTGCTCTCTACATCCGCACTGGCAGCCTAAAGTCCACAGCAACTTACCAAACAACAACTAGGTAATTAAATTCTTCCTGTTTAACACCTGTAGCGACTGCTTGGGCTGTAACAAATGGAGCATCCCTGTAAAATGACCTCACTCCGAGTCCTGCAGGTCAGAGTAACATGACACACTCTTTACCTCTGCAGTGGAGAAATAGCATATTTTGCAAAAACAGGTGGTGGTGGTCACAGCAGCTAAGAAACGACACTAATATTTACAAAGCCGTTAGTGTGATGATGGGACTGAAACTTCTGTGCCCTTTGCTCAGCATGCTTCAGAGGAGAGTCCTTTAACAAACGGGCTGACAGCTCAGAACGGAGTCATGAAGCCAGAGTCGAGGCTGTACAGAGTCCAAGGCAAATGGAAGAGAATTTACACTTCCCCGAATTTCCTCCCGACGGCGCAGAGTTGCCCCAGACCTGGCCGGCATGATGTGGTCCTTCTGTCTTCAGAGCCCCTGCAAGTGAGAGAATCCCTCTCTGAGCGTGAATCACGATCGTCTTGAAGTGACAGTCATGACATGATTAGCAGGATAACTGACAGGAAACGAAAAGATTTTAAAAGATCCAGATTTTGGTCTTTTGCATCCAAAGTACTTCCTAGCAGACACTCCCTTTGGAGACAGTGCCTTTTCGTGCCTCCGGAGCACAGCTCCCCATCTGCATGGAGGGGAGTGACTATTTCCAACTCCACAGGAATGGGCCAAGGAGGATTACATCAGAGCCTGAAAGTGAGTGTGTGTGTTTGTTTAGGTTTTAAAATAATCTGATTACACACTACTCACCATCTAAAGATACCCAAATTGCTTTTAAGGTCACTGGGGAAGTTCCAGAGAAAGAGATCCCCTCTCCTTCAGCCCCACACCCCGAACCCCCTGCAGAAAGGCTGAAGGGCTGAAAGACACAAGCAGCAGTTGACCGCTCCCTCATCACCTACCTGGCTGCCATTTGTTCCACTGTCTCCTCTCTGCTATTCTTCCACAGGCACGGCACAGTTTTCCTTGTTCTCCGATGGAATCGCAAGGTAGTCTGTCCTGCAGTTGGAAGGAGAGTGGAAAGAATAACCTCAAGTGCCACTGTGCAAAAACCAGTTCAGATTCATCTAGCCTTTCAAAGACACTGAATGCCTATGAGCGACTATCCCTACGGTACCAAATTTCATCTGCAGAAAGCGGAAACCTGTGGAAGAGGGAACTCTCCTTGGCATAGTCTTAGGAAATGTCAGGAGCCAGCACTGAGTCTTCCCTGGGTGTAAAATCCTAGGCATACAGCCTTCTTTCCACGCACAGAGAGCACTGTCATGTATGTCATGTATGTAGAAAGATGAAAACGGGACAGTGTAGAAACTGGAAACTCTCCCCTGCGTCAACAGCCAGAACTACCCTTCCCTTCTCTTCCTCTCCTTAAAAGCAGCATACGCGACAGGCTTGGGAGTGAGAGCTCTGCAAGGAGACCTTCCAGGAAACGATCTCTGCAGTTCACACAAGACCACTTTTGGGATACTGCACACTCTGGCCACTCTTCCTAGCTGGTGCATTGTCCCTCGCTTTGTTAGCGCAGAGCCTCTCTCAGTACTCCTAAATCTTGCAATGGATTCAAACATGGCAACATCAGCTAGGAACGTGCAATAGCAAGGGCCAGTCTTCTTGAAGTACAACCTGGATTGAGACATCCGAAGAACCCTCTGAGAACAGGTCACGCTTGGGGACGTATCACACTCACGCGTTTTCCTGCGCAGCCTCCTCTGCCTTAGAGACTTTCCGGTAGCAATAGATCATTTCTATCAGCAGCCATAAGGTGAGGAAGACCAGAAGAATATACATCATAATTTCAGAGATGACTGAAGTGAAGTCTTCTCCAGCTGTTAAGAAAATGAAATCATCTCTGATCATTTACTGCCAGAGCACAGCAGCTGGATTCACACTTTCCACCCTCATATCATACTTCCTAACCCAGCTTGCCACAGAGAACCAGGCTGCCACTACTTTGTGAGGGGTGAAAAGACAGGAGACAGGGGCTGCTGCCAACAGAATATGCCAGCAGTGATTCCATTATGTGCTTCCACAGGAATCAAACACGCATAGGCTTGCATGTGCCTTGCATTCTCTGCAACTCACGCTTTCAGGCAGATCGCTCACTGTTAGCCAGTCTCACCTTCACACAGCGTCCTTTGCAGTTCTTACTCCCTGGGGTTACTTGATTGTATCGTACCACCATGAGAGCAGTACTTTGAGAGAGATCAAAACACGGAGATGCTTGTGGGAAAGGAAGGAAGGGAAGACATAGCAGGAAAAGGTGAGGGCTAAAAACCTTGTCCCTCTCTGTCATCGACAGCAGTACTCCCCCCCACTGATTTTCAACCCGCCAGGATTTCAGCACTGAAGCGGAGAAGAACAAAAGCAGAAAAACAGAGGAGCGTTGCAAAGGGATGGAGGGACTAGAGGCTAAGAGGGGAGCAAGAGACTGCTATCAAAATGGAGAATGGGTTTTATTCAAAGCGAGATGGAGGCAGAAGCAAGGAAGGAGACGCCGTGGCTATCTTAGCAAAGGCTGTGCTGTAGCATCCTACAGCTGCCAGGGGAGAGAGAAGTGAGGGTTCTCAGCGGAGAAACTGGAAACCTCTGCTTGCACTCTGCGCCTGCCTAACTGTTCTTCGATGTTGCCCGGACTTTCCTTGCATGTACCCTCCCGTATTCACACAACTACTCTGTGCCTGAAGTGAGGCTACAGCCAGAAAACAAAACGCAGGGCCTTTCTCCTGAACTCTGTGTAGGGTTTGCTGTTGGCAAAGACAGACACGATTATCTGGCAGCTCAGTCACCCCTCTTCCGCAATACAATGAAAAATTATGTGTCTGGATGATGACAGCCATGGCAAGTTAGGCGCAAAACGCTTTCTGCCAGTCCTTCATACCCTCCTCCACCACGGTGAGATGGATCAATCTGGAGCTTGTGAAGAGAGGTCGGTGAATCTCAAACTCAAACTCCCGGGTGATATTACAGGTGTAGATACCCGAATCATTCAAGGTAACATTTAGCACAGTGATGGATACGTCCTGCATGTCTTTACTCCCGTTCCACTGTAGCCGACCACTGAAGCGGCTTGGAAATTCATGATTCGTTTTCCTGTACTCGTAGATCTGTGAGAAAACGTGCAGGGATAGTCTGATTAACCGTTGACTCGTATCTTAGACAACAACACAGCACATGCAAGAACAACCTTCTCCTCTAGCTACATGCACTTGGCGAGTGTGTTCTGGGATATGGCCTCTTTGGAAAACAGCACATGTTCAGAGTCTATCAATCAGCATTTACTTCAGAATCTCAGAATACTGTGTGAAAGAGAGAAAATGAATTATCTCATCATGGAAGTAGAAAAACTAAGGCACAGAAAAGCAAAGATACAGGTTGACAATGACACAGAAGATGAGCAATGGAACTAAAACTAGACTCCTGTTACGTCTTCTTAGCCTTTCGGTTACTGGACGTAAGATCATCTTCAGAAAGTGAAGATGACCTTAGAGACAATAATTTTAGTGAGCCGCAGGATGTTCAGCTGAAATGCAAGTGTTGCAGCATAAATCTCACCGTGTGAAAAGGGCACGCTAGGAAGGACAGAGCTTCGGTAGCTTTCACAGGCCTAATCTTGTGCAAGTTTTCTAACTGACCACGGTGCACATCATTAAACTGCCTGCCCTCATTCATTTTCATTAGCATTCCTTGGATCGCCATCGGCAAATACTTCACCCAGGTGACTGAATGAGAATTCCCATCTCATTCCGTTGAGCGGTTTCTCTAGTTCTCAGACAACGGGAAATTATTTGGCCTCTTGTCTGACCCTACTTCTCACTCGTAATGAATCACAAGCACTGACCTAATGCTCTAACACTCAGATACGATAGCTAGCAAGAAATGTAGGCATTCAAACTTACATATTCTCACATTTACCATTCTTTCTTGAATTGCAGTTGCCCCTTGTGGGTAACATTCCCATTTTAATTCACTTTCAAAACTAATTTTATCTTTTCCTGACAGGGATCCAAAGCAACTCACAGAGATCCCTCACTCGATTCCACAGTCAGGATATCACTGCTTCCTCTGGGGTGAAAGTCAGTCAGTTTTGCTGTTGTAGTTT